AAACGGCAAACGAGCGCAGCGTGTGGTGTGGGCTGTTAGTGACGATTTGTGACGATTTGTGACGATTTGTGACGATTTGGTGTCGAAGGGCAGGGCAGGGAGAGTGTGAAGACCTGTCAGAGCCAGGCCAGGCACATACGGTCGACATCGACGACAACGTTGCGCAGATGGACAGGTTCATCGAAGAAAACAGACGCGTAACCTTGGGTGCGAACGAATGCCGATGAGTACGTATGATCAGAGCAGATTTTCGCCCATGACCTCATCGGTCGTCGGACGATCGGTGCACATTGTGTCCCGAAGGGGTCCTGGCAAAATTCGTGCGATTCATAAAAAAAAAATATAAAGAATGATGATGAATCGGGGGGGGGGAATTATCTGCATGGAAATGTAAAATTTTCGCGAGAAATCTGCCAAATATGTTTCAGATTCGTACAATACGACTTCCAATTTTCTTTCTGAAGCTCTTCAATGCTTCCGCGTCACAGAGCTGATCTCGGACTGACTCTTTCTTCTCTCGGCCTTGCTCAGATCAAGTTGTTTCTCGGTTGAAGAAAATCTTGGGACGCGAAATTTAAGTCGCTTTTTGCACGATTATGTGCATATTTGAATCGATCGCGAAATTGACGGATGCAAATTCTTCATCTTCGGCAAGGGGATTCTCCGACGAAACCGAAAGTTTTTTTTCATGGCCTTTTTCATGGCCTTTTTCATGGTCTGACTTCGAAGTTTTTACTCCACGCCGTGGAAAAGGACGCCTCCAAAGGGCAAGGACAAGCAAGAATTCGCAGTCCTGCAGATCTCATTCTCCTTGCAAATTCTTGACTTGAGCTCTGCCTCGATTCTTGTTAATAATGTCTTCGATCGAAACGAACGTTTTAGCAGTCACAGAAAACTATTGTAAAGATTTGGCGACTGGCAACTATTTTTTACTCCTCTATTTAAATGGTAAAGGAGTTCGAAGCCTCAATTCAAAACTTCAGCTTTCAACTAGAAAATAATGACATGGAAGCAGGACGCGTTTGTTTCCTTTTTCCTTTTTCCCATGGTGATAACGAATTTCCTTTCACCTGCATGCTATTTCCGTTTTGTGGATTTTTTTTTTCTGTTCTTGAAGCGGTGTGAACGCCCGTCGATGTGATTCGTTTTTTCTTTTCAGATGTTTCTCCGATTCGATGCGATTCGGTCCTTCGACGATCGAGGAGGTCGAGATCGGGGATGGGGATCGGGGATGGGGATCGGGGACGGAGCGGGGGAGGGAGGTCCTCATTACACGCAAGGGGGAATTGGTGATCGCGAATAATGGAATGCCCAAGAGGCCTAATTTGGCAAGGGGACATTTGGAGATTGGTCACACCGAGCCAATTTTTGCTCCGTCGAGACACGCGACTCCTTTTGCCACGGTGTGTGCTCCGTTTCCCTTTTTTTTTCATCTCTGATATGTCGGGACGCAGCGGCCTTCTGCAGATTTTCCACTTTCCTGAACTTTCCATTGCGCAATGGATCGGGAAATTTTTCTCCCTTTCTCTTCCTCTCTTTGCGACGTGAAAAATCGGAGCCCGGGGCCCGTCGTCCTTTTCGCATGAAATGCGACGGGTCCACGATTTATGGGGCACATCTCGGGGAAATTTCCCGGCAAATTTCCCTTCATTTTTCCCCCCTCTCTCGTGATGCATCGAAGGAACGCCGAATCGGTGTCCGGCGTTCGCAGTTTCCCCCTTCCCGGCCTGCAGATGGCCTCCAAAAGTCACGAGGAAGCTCCAAAGCCAATGCCGATTTAATTTTAAAATGCAGCAATAAATAATAAATAATAATGACGAAGTAATTATATACAATTTAGCAACAGTAGTAATGATAATATTTTATTATACCGAAGAATCGGGAGTTAAAAAAATATTCTGAATATTTGCCTGCGTCATGGCGTTATTTTTACCATAAGGCCGGGCCGCATAGATACGAAGGGAGGAAGAGCCGCTGGGATCCATGAAGGAAAAACTCATTAAAAGTTCACTTTGCTCGCGTCGGCGGAAGAAAGCCGGCCTGGAGAAGAAGATGCAAATGCAAGGGAGGGAGAGAGCCTATTACACCATGAACTCAGGCGGAAGTTTCAGCCTCCCCTTCCATTTTCCATCCCTTCTCCTTTCCTATATGCAGGCCTCGATATCGACGGGATTTTCCTATCCTCCCTCCTGCCATGTTCCTTCGGGAGCGCTGGGAAAACACAACGCGTCTTGCTGGTTTGCCCACGAACAGACTTCGAATCTGGCACGCACCGCAGTCTCATGCTTCTACGTGGCACAATAACAGCAGAGACGTGTGAGAATTAAAAAAAAATTCGAAAAAGAAGCCAGATGGAGAAAATCCACACAAGTGGTCTCACTCCATCCATTCGCACCTGCCGAGGAAGGAAAACGAGCAATGACGACACTCAAGTTGAAAGACTGACTTACAGATAAACTTGCATATGCGAATCCAACTGTCAATCATGAACTGAAAGTCCCGATTCGAAACGGATCTGAGGACCCTAAGCCTCCGGCTGGCCTATTATTGAAGAGTTCTCGCATGCAATGTTCTCGCCATTCTAGACTAGCCCCGACATCTATTGAATTTAGATCCACTTCGAGTTGTGACTTCTTTACGCAAGGTGTCGCCCAAATCCACATATTGGACTGGGAATTCCCGCAGGGAGTTCTTTCCTCCTCCGCAACGGCGAAGGGACATGTCTCGTTGGCATCCTGTTATCTCTTCTCGTATTTTTTTATTTTGCCACGGATTACACCAATCTTCCGGATCACGGCGTATTGTAGTGATACTGCCCCGCAAGTACCGTCGGCGGAATCCGGGAAGCTATCAGGTTCAGGAAGCCTTGTTGGCTTTTTTTTTATTGCGTGCACGCTTAGCGAGCGAGACCGTTTTTCATTATGTCAGGTGAAATAGGTAGTAACGTGAATTGGTCTCTATCGCCGACACATGTATTTGTCAATGGCAGGCCGGCAAAGCCACTATGCCATTCATGAATTTGGGATAGGAGGGGGATATGTTATCTGCATGTTCTCTTTACGACATGGAGTCCCTTGACGCCATTTTATTGGAAACCTCTCAAGAGTGGCCCCCAGAGCGCACACGTTCAGAAGGGTGAAAAGAACCTGTGAAAGGGCAAGGGACACAGAGGAACGGGCAGCTGAATGAGTTGTTTTGATCGTGCCGAGGGCGAGGAGGGGGAGTGTGGCTTTACGCGAGGCATTCGCGTGCGCCATCTATGTCCGGTGTGCATGGTTTCGTCGTGATGTGTGACAGTGCACCGTGTCAAACTCACCCTTACACTCGAAAATAAGGCTCTAAAAATTCTTTAGGTTGTGTTCCAAACCTTTAATCCCAAATTTTGTATTTCAGGGACGTAACTAATCGTCGGCTTAAGTATAAATTCCATCTTTCTTCCTCAAACTCCTTCAAACTAGGGTCGGAAACACTTGCGCAGGCTAGCATTCACGTTAACGTTAGACTAGGTCGCGAATACCAGGTCTGATTTGAACCGTGCACATGAAAAGCGTATCTAAGGACTTTGACTCAGGACTATGTTGATTTCGGAAGGACCTAGGCCTACTGTGTAGGCTAAGGTTTATTACTAAGAAGCTTGCTATCGGCCTAACACAGACCTAACGTTAACTGTTAACGTTAGGTTATCGTCGCGCTTTCTGGTTGGGCCTTGCATAGGCCCTTATATTAAGTGGACTTAATGTATGGACCTTAGGTTTAGACTGGACTAAGCTTAGAAACGATTTCCTCAATACGATTTTTCCCTGGTATTAATGTAACATTAGGTTGTATGGTGACTTAGCAAGTAACTCACTTATTCCTATGATCTTGATTGATTCTCTTGGGCCTACCAACGCAAGTGGAACTTGAGTTCCCTTCAGTCTTATTGCGTGAACTAGTATGCAATCGTTGTTTTTATGGTGGAAATACAGTTACTTGACTAGGAGTTCATAACACACCTCGCGGGTGGATGAACTTCCAGTAACGTTATTGAACTAGTTCTTCCATTGCGAAGAGACTGAGGTATGGAAAAAGAATGCAATAGTTAACTTCCTCATTTTAATTTATTATGAAAGAGTGAACTTTTACGTATTCTTTAATTATTTATACCCTTTCTATTTACTTAGGCCCAAATGCACAAGTCTCATTTACTTAACAGCCCTTTAAGGAGAAAACAGACTGTTTGTTAAAAGCCTTTTTATCTTGGAATGCGCAAACCTCCTTTAACCTTCTGCTAGCTAATGGTCCTTTAACTAAAGTGGCTTTTAGAGAGAGGTGTGGAAAGACATGTATTGGCATCACTGTAGATACTGCTCTAGCGTGTTTCTTCGTTCAAAGGCCTAATTTGACAGGAAATGAGTCAATACCACGTGGAGTGAACACAGATGGGTGAAGTTGATTCAGCGCAAGTGGGCAGAAGTGGTAAAATGTGCGTCTTGGCAGAAAAGCGAAGTGAGGACGTTTTCATTTTCCCAAGTTATTACTTGCTTCCCAACGGAAAACAAAACCTGGAGAACTAGCTCAGTTATGGATCAGTCATACTGTCAGTCACTGAGCACCATGACACTTAGGTTACCTCCCTTCACTATTTCGTAGTCATCCAACTTTTCAGCAAGCAAAAGCCGTCATGTCGATGACTTGCATAATCGGGAGGGGATGGGAGGAAAGTAAAGCTTGCAGGATGCAAGATGCGACATTCCTCGGGATCACCCCACAAACTTGTCTATACTGCTATGAGAAGCGTCTTTCTCGTTTTGTTAAACTATTGATCCGTCAAATGCAAGTGCTGGAAGGTAACTTTTTGATGGTGACTGGCACCCCGACCCAGACTCCATGCTGCACGTGAGCAATGAGTCAAATTCTCATGTTTCAACAGCAACTGCAGACAGACGAAATGCAAAGAGAATAGGAAAAGGGACAAACCAGTCACAATATCTGCCATTCTTCCATTGGTCACTTTTGAAATGGCAAGTGAAATTCAGGGTTGGTATCTTGTTTGCACCCAGACATACATCTTCAAGTTCAATCATCTCATTTGAACCCTTCTTTATAAGATTTATTCTGCAGGCCAACCAGGTCAGTTGCGACTGTCTCTTTGCGCTGGCCTCATCTAGTTTATAAGATCATGAGTTCCAAGAAGCTTTTCCAGGAACAGAGTCCTTGGAGAACCGGAAACGTTTCAGAAACTGATAACCACTGTAGTAGAGGAAGGGATCTGTTCGTCGATTGAGGTTGTAACGCAAGAGAATTGTATGCCGCCTCCTCCTCCATTTAAAGAAACGTAGATTGTGCAGAGACAGCATGGTTTCTAGACTGCAAATGAACAATGATCCACCGAAGAAACGCCAGTGATGAAGGAAAAAATTCCCTGTTTACGAGATAAAGTAGGTCCTAGACCTCCTTTTTCTTTTTGCCAGTTAGAGAATTGTTTAACTGTCCATTAAAGTTAAAGGAGGCTTGTGCATTTGAAGATAAAGGAGCTTGAAGTTAGAGGTAGGGTGTGCATTCGAAAAAGGGCTCTTTAGCTTAAACCTCGTTTAAGTTAACGGACATTTTTGTTAAAGAGAGGTTACGCATTCCCAAAAGAGCTCTTTAGCTTAAAAGCCCCTTTATCTCTCCTAAATGAGACGTGCATTCGGGCCTTATTCTCTAATAGAAAAAATAGTAAAATGAGGTTCATGAAAATGCTATATCCTATACAAGTCCCCATGCTTAGCTTGTTCTGGTCTCCACTCCTACAATGATAATTTTTATATCATGTGTAACCTTTGGACTTTTTAACTTCCTGGAGCTCAGATGAAATGAAGGAAAGAAAAGGGTGAAGTAGGGATCAGGCCCCTCCTCCCTCTTTCATTTGGTATTTATGTCAAAGTTGAAAGCCATTAACCCAAGGGTGCACAACATACAGCCTGTGGGCTGCATATGGCCTGAAACCCTTGCCCATGGCCCACCATGACTGGTGGTATTGTAGGTGCTACTATGGCTCCTGTCCTGTTGGCCACAGCTATGGTCAGCCAGACTGTGGTCTGTGGTAGGTGAGTAAAAATGACTAATTCCCCACACAACCTTTTGAGTTGTGCACCCCTGCATTAACCCTTTGATTGCCATGACATTTGCTGGCAATTGTAAGTGGAATAGTGGAAATGAAATAGTCACAAAAAAGTGCTAAAAATTTTTAAGAATGGGTTGCAGAGGTTATGTTAGGTTTCCTGTTGTAGGAGTTGCCAGGACCCTCAGGTCTGATATGGAAGGGTCTCCTGACAATTAAGGGTGTTATTTTCCAAGTGAAACACATGGGAATCTTGAAGGGTTCCTCAAAAGTAAAAGTCCAGCAATCCTTGTGTATTTGCCAACTTAACATAACCAAGCAGTATGATATTCAATCCAGCAGTCTTGGGCTTTCTGCCTGTGTCCCAGGGGTCCCGGGACCTGGGGATGAATGGGCAGGAGGCCAGAGCGAAAATCGGTGCAACCCCTGGGTAGGTGGGTTTGAAAAGAGTTGTAACTAGGCTGTATTGGATGTAACTAGTATTAGTGGATGGTGAGCTACATGACTTAAGGTTAGAGTCTCAAGGAAACAGAATGATAAAAATGTAAATGGTACCAACTGCTATACAAACCTGAAGATTGCCTTTAGGTTGACTGGGATTATTTTAGCAACTCAATTAACCTGAGTGTGAAGTTACCAAACCAAGTGCTTAATATCTTTCTGCCTTGGGAGTATAGTGACCTAGTAGTGTTTATGGTGTCTGCTTGTCACTCCACACCTAATTTTTATTTTCGAAGCCTACAGCAATTTTAGAGTAATTTTCACTTCTAGAAGGGAGGGTTCTGGTGTTACCAGGTTTTTTAACTCAAGAAGCACCTTGGTTTATGCAAAATAGCCCAACCATTAATCTCATGTGCTTGTGTTGGACTGACTTGTTGCCTGGAGCTTTGCATGCTCCTGGTGGGGACTCATGACATGTAATAGAGCGTGAAATAAATTTGAGTTTTGCTGGTAGACCCATAGAAAAGATTGGTTTTTATCTGTGAACTTATCCCCAAAATCACCGTAACATGAGTTCCCTCTCTGCACAAAGTGGGACAGAAAAAGTGGGATTGAAAAATGTATGTTAAAGTTTAGTGCATATGATTTTATTTGTGTAAGACTAACCAACAACTTGGAGCACAAACAGGATGAATCCTGATGTGGATGAGTGAATAGCACCACTGTATCTTGGACTACACTTGATGGAAGGAACCCTCTTCGTTTCCAATTGGTCTTTCGTACCATAATGATCTGCATCGAATGGCCTATGTAAAGGAGAGGGAAATACATGCACACTCAAAGCAGAGAAATTATATTAATATTTATTCTCCTTATTTCAATTGCATGTAATCCTTGCCTATTTAATGATCAATTTTCAGGAGAACTATACCAGTAGGATGTGATAAGAATATAGTAAAGGAACTCTTGCTTGGGAATTTGTTGTGGGTATCATTTTGGGCACATGATTAAAGAAATCTCCCCTATGTCATTCCTATGATTTTTATGGTGATACATTGATGGAATAGTATATGGATGCTATAAACACAGTTCATAATTTAGCCCAGGTTGTGACTGAACTGCATGTGAACACTTATGATATTGTGCACAATCCTATTTATGAAATAAATCCCATCTAAATATTCCCCAAAGTGCAACTTGCAGTTATCTTTCTTATAACTATAGGGCTACTAATCAGTATTTGCCTCTGTAGAAGGTTGTTTATGATGTAATGGCTACTGGTCAGTGCCAGGACTGAGAACTCTATTGGGAGGCTTGCAACATATCTTTGACAGAAAGAATGGGGATTTTGCAACATAGCTGGGAGCATTGGCGTAGCTACCGAATGTGCAGGCAGTGTAACTGCGCCTGGGCCCATTTGCCAGAGGGGCCCAGATGCCAAGCTATAAAGAATGGGGAAGGCATTAGATGGGAGCCCCTTAGCATCGGGACAAGGTGAGAGCCAGCAGCCGAAAAGGGAGGTCAAAAGGAATCAAAGGAATTCAATGTGACACTGCACAGAGACATCTTGCAACTGGGACACCATTTCATGTGGTTATATGAAGTGGTGACCACTTCAAATACTATTCACCCAGGGCTGGATTAAGGGGGGGGGGCAATGGAGACTGTTTCCCCAGACCCCACTTTTTCAGGGGTCCTTGAAGGAAATGGAACACATTAAGTATTTGCATAAAGTAGCAGGGGGGGGGCTGCTCTTCCTCTGACCAAGTTTGCAGTCTATTTTTTAAATGTGGAAAGCACATAATGTTTATTAGTTCCTGTGAAATAGATATTCAAGGTTTTTACCCCAGACAAAAAGTGAAGAAGGTAGTAGAACAGAGGATGGTGGTAGATGAGAGGGGGGGCTGGGAACCAGGAAACAGCCCTCCCTCTATAAAAAAATTCATTCCTTGCACCAGGGCCCATGCCAAACATGCTATGCCATTGGTTGGGAGAAAGGAAATCTTGGCTGTAACATGGTGTGCCTGACAAGATTACACTCGCACATGTTTTTCCTTTTTTTTTTGGAATGGGAGGGCATTGGCATGGACAACCTGGAAACCTGCTGATGTTCTGATCAAGTGCCTGGGTAGGGAGGAGAGTAATGAGCATGTTTGCCAGCATGATATTGTGCACTCTTTTTAGTTATGTTTTACTGGGCTCAAAGGTAGGAAAGAAAAGAAAAGAATGCTGGCCTAAAAATTTTTTTTTTCTTTTTTTTTTAAGAATAGGTAACATAATTTTGCAGCTTCTGGAACTTTGACATGTTTGAGACCCATATAGAAGCCTCCTCTTGTCTTCCTAATATGCATATGTCAATATCATGGTCACATTACTAAAAATTTAATAATACTGATGCTGAAGATGGTATGTTATTGTTGGCCCATATGACTTTGATGAATAATGTTAGGCAATGTTATGTTTAGCAGAATGCATAGACAGGTATTGGTATTGTTAATTTCAATACTTTGGGTCAATATGTATATGCCATGTGCTCATGTATACAAACAATCACATAACCATGCATTACTACAGTTCCATGTATGCTTATCACATGAAATTTTCCTATGTGAATATGCAAAAGGTTTGTGGAGGTCATGTCACAAGGCACTTTACTTGTTCTTATGTCACCTACATTTGACATGGATGAAAGCATTGCACCAAGGATTAAAATTCAGTTAAAGCTGCTCCCTAATTGCTGGCAAGGCTCAGTTTCACTATTAATATTTACTTATTGCATGCAAATCAGAGTGTGAGATCTTCAGGGAGATACAATATGACAATAAGTGACCTTTTTCAGGAAAGGAGACCCATTAATAAACTGGTGTAATAATATCAGGTGTGACCTACATATAGTAGTGTATCTACAGCTTGCACTGCATGTTGCATTTGATATCACTCCCTGATTGTTTACTCACCCTTTGCCTTACCTTTCACATATCAGTGTCATTTGAAGCTCTTTCAATGTAGCATATGTATAAACCTGTGTGGTTGGTGTGTGGTGTTGCTCAACAAACCTGCCTCCATGGTGACCAAAGAGCTGAATTTGGTGTAGCTAAAACCTTGGTCCTGGATACCACCCAGGCATTCAAGATGTTAAATCACAAATGTTATGCTATGATTAGAATAGAAGAGTGCTATTCAATACTTGCAAGAATAGTGTATCTTGGAAGAGCATAGTGCTCCATTCAGTGTTCATAACATGGGAGTGACATGAAGCAAATTCTTTGTAAGAAGAGAAAGGCAGATGGTACATCAGCTTCATATGTTGCATTTAGATGCATGCATAGGTATTGTCAAAATTTTCAGTCTGTTAGAAAGTCCAACACATTCTTCACTTACATTGATAGGCATGGGCATGCACACAGCAGTCTGCCTTGCAACAGTTCTTAACCATTCTCTTCTGGAGTGCAGTGAGGTTTTGTAGTTGTGTAGGTATAGTAAAATCAATAACAACATATTCTTGACCATCTTTCGATGATGGCATGCATGTCTGCTTATTCATAGATCACGGGATTCAACATAGATCACACCTGACATCCAAAAACAGTACGTAGATCACACCTGACATGATTACCAAAACAGGCCCTCATAAATAAGGGCTAGATTGTTACAAATTGTATGCATTCTCCATGCCAACCAGGAACCTTGGTATCAGCAACTCACTCATATGTCAGGATATCTCAATTAGCTTGTGCTGTGATGAAATTTTTGTTGCCTGCAGGTCAAAGTTGAGGTGCTTATTAGATATGTCTGAAAAATATTTATTTGTGTCATGCTCACAAATGGGATTTCTAATTTTGTCACCAATTGATTGAAATTCATTGTGATACATTATATTTACCTTGCTTCACTGTGTGGTTCAATCTTTCCTTTCATGCCCTCCCTTCCCCATCTTCTGAAACCCAGTCCCATCATGCATGAATTAATTATGCATGGAGGGGAATATTAGAACTGGGAAACCACTTTGAGGAGTAGGGACATGTGATGTGTCGACCTCTGTAGTGTGAATTTAACCTTTTCATGTTTGTAGTATAGAGATATTGGGAGCTCTTCTCACTTCAGATTGCAGGTCTCTTTAAGAAAAAATTGATTCACAGTGACTTTTTGAATCCCACATCAGTCTGTTGGATCCCCTGGTTTATAAAGTTGACATTTTAACGTTACACATACATGTTACTATATGTTTAATGTAACTTGCATTGGGAAAATGAAAAAGTACACTGAGGACTTGGTTCATATGATGGTGTGCACTAATTGAGAAATGTATGGTCTTATATGTTTTTGGGTAGTGGAGAGCTATTATAATACCTTTAACAGTCTTCCAATGCTGATGAAGAAAGTTCATTTCTGTGGAAATCCAGATGAATAAGAGTAAAGGCCCTAAAATGGATGCTTGAGATGATCCATGATCCACGTGTGATTTTCTTGGGTATACTTATTTATTATGCAAGTTTGGTAAGTTGCCTTTTATTTTCATCAGTATTATTTGCATATTAACCCACCAATGTTTTATTGGTTATGTTTCTGCATCTGTTGGAGGATTAGGTTATTATTATCGTTCATTCTATAATCGTTGGATTGTTAGCTGTAAGAATGGTGCAGGAAGGTATTGGAAATAGAGTACATGTTGGGTGAAGCATGAAGTCTATATATATTTTCATTGAATTTCATCACTGGCTCCTTGATAAACTTATGACTCTTTGCATCCTGTAAGTCCAAGTAAGTTGTTGGGAGATGAAAGAATATCAAGTAGGTCTCTATCAATTTGATTGGTGGGATGACTCCTGCATTAGTAAAGATAGTGAATATAAACCAAAGAGGGGCATTCTTTCAGTAAGCCTGCTTCCAGTGGCAGCCTGTTATGTGTATTGCCTGCTTTTGTCAAAGGTGTATACACATACCCATAGTCTGTACCTACCAGCCTCCAGTATTTAAATTTTTGCTTGGTTGTGAGGCTGAGTTCTTGTGAAGTTTAATTCATTGGCTGGGGATGGGTCAGGCAAGAAGATTATCATGAGAAAGCTTGGCAACCAGGTAGAGAAGGAAGTGCCCATATGAAATGATTGATCTAGGATATGGTAAGCCAAGAGAGGTCTTGGCTTTCAAACAATTTTGAAATGATAGTTTTGTCAGGTCAATGGCTGGCCTCAAGCTCTTCTTTAAATGGACTGGCTCTATTCATGTTCATACTATCCATGTAAGTAGTGCCCTGTAGTCCTTTGTCATACAACTCCCCATTTTCACATTGATTGCTGAAAACCAAAATTGATACATTTCCATCTTCAAGCTCTAAGTCCTCCAAGTTTCATCCATGTTGATCTAATTATTTTGGAATTCTGGAAGAATGTGATTGTGGATTTAAAAAAATTTGTTCTCCTTTTGGCAACTGAACAAGTGGATTTAAAAAACCCTCACAAAACTGGCAAGTTATACATAAATCAGATACTTGTCTAGTCCTGGGAGTGTGCTTTACTATTTCAGTGAAATTACTTAGCCAAATTATTCACATTGAGAAATTGAGGAGAAACTTGTGACTTGAGGGCACGAACATTCGAAGATCCTAAAATATTGCAGATGTCTGCATGAAAATCATCTCACCTGATCTCCCTGTGGTGATTCAAGAAGCAATCCAGCTAGAAGGGTTTGTTGCATTTCTTTGCCAAGTTCTCAAGGTCATCACATAGTTTGGGTTTAATGGAGCCTCTATGGCAAAATGCTTTGCATGAAAAATCATGCAAGGGATGTGAAAGCAATGTTGCCATTGCTTCCAAGAATTTAGGCTATTAGCAGTGAAGTTCAGGTCTAGAAAAAATGTATTGGTGAATCTGATCTTGTAGACAACATTACTTTCCATCATCACATTGGACCAACTAATATAGACTGACCCTTGAATCTCAGCATATGGGCCAATTTTATGTTTTCAGACATTTTGATAATTTTGGGAAATGAGGATCTGATTGACTTGTTATCTTGATTCTTCCTTGTAATGGGAAGTGCAAATTTAGTATTGAAAATACTGAAAAACCTTTACAATGAATTGGCAAACACGTCCATATGCATGGATATGTATCTAGGACAGAGCAAGAAGGTGGTTACACTGGTACTGAAGGGAAAAGTTATTGTACAGAGCAAGAAATACTGAGCTGATTTCTACAAGTGGGGTACTGATGGACTTAGTCTTGAGCCAAGGCCAGAGGTATCCATACTTATCCTTATCTATCTATTACTATTACTCTCATTGGTGATAAATTATGAGGTTGAGGATTTTGCTGTCCCTTCCTTGGACCACATCAGTGAAGGGGACTGGTGAAGTAATTGCCATCTAGTTTGGTATATGGTTGGCCCTCATTATCTTCGTACTATATTCCCCATTGTATATCAAAGTGGAGTATTTGTTCAACTATTTTAGATGGCAAATAGATCCAATGAATTTATTTAAAAAATTAATACTTCAATAATGCTGGCAGGTCGGGAAGTGAAGCAATCAGAGGTCGGTAGCCTCTACCTTGGCCTTAAAGGCCAGGTTAGTTGGTTTTCTGAGCCCACTTGGCTGAGGGAAGAAGCAAGGATCCCCTGTGTATTGCAATAGCTGTTCTGACTGTGGATATATTCAGTGCTGAAGTGTGTGTTTTCCTGGATTTTGTGTGTATGTGGATTTTGACCAGGGGATACCTAAAGACCTCAAGATGAGCAGCAAGATATCATATGCTCAGGTTGTTTCAACTTCCTCTTCAAGGGGAGATAGCATTGGAACAAATGGAAGTGCTGATGATGAGAACTTTCCTGTTCTGGGTGAGGAATCCCACCAGAATCAACCACCCTCAGAGACAATGAGTGAGGAGAACATCAAATCTGACACTGATGATGAGGGCTGGCAGAAAGTGGACTCAAAAACCAAGGTGAAGCTGCGCCCAGATCGAGGTTGGAGGGAGCGCCACCACCGACACCCTTATGTGAACAGAGACTTCAGAAGTGAAAAGCCTCGAGATGATATTCACTCCTCCCCCAAGCCGATCAAAGATCCCATTGTGCCAGTGATGAATGGACACGCAAATGGAACTAATGGATCTGATTCAGAGATGGCCCAGGGGGGGCAGAATAGTGATAGATCCTCAGAAACCTCATCAGACAAGCCTCTGTTTGTGGAAGCTCCTCTGCCTGCTGTCAATCCATGGACCAAAAAGCTTCCATCCAAGGAGAGCACACCTTCCAATGGAGGTGTGTTATTCATTAATCATTAGTTTGGTTTTTTTTTCTTTTACACTGAGGGTAACATTTTTGATAGAACAACATATTGCTAGATTCATCAGATATGCATCATCAAGAGGAATTACTAATATGAGGTGCACTTACAGTATGACTTTCACTTGTCACTTTTTCTTAATAATATATAATTCTTTATAAGTTGAAGTAGCCTGAAGTTGTAAAATTTTGGAACTTTTCATGACTAAAGACTTAATGAATCCAAAGACTACCTAAATATTATTATAAATTATTACAAAAAATGAGAGACAGATTTGATTGAAATACTGTCACATATTATTTTCATCATATAGCTCATAACAGCAAGGGAAATGTTTAATCCCAAGCTCAAATGAACCATATGTATTTTTTTAAATTTTTTCTTATCTCATTTTGCCCTTCATGGCTTGATGATGCAGGAATCCAAGTTTTGCTCAAAATCAATGATAGTTTATAAAATCAGCTTCCCTTGAGGCCTTTTAATATGATCTGGAAAAGCAATTGCAGCAAAGTTTACTTTAAATTAGTTTGGTTTAGTTGAGCTAGATAAGGTGTAATGAGAAAGACCTCTATCAGGAAATGAAAGGAGTACTTTGGTTCTGTTATGAAAATCTTTTCCAATGCCAAAACCTGATGGTGAACTTCTTATAATATGGGGAGAACATGCATGTGTAATTAACATGCTATATTATCTCCATCCATTCATTCAAGGCTGCATGGATGATCATAGTTGATTAGAGGAACAGATGTGTTATACCTGTTGGTCAGAGATGCAAAAGAGAAAAAACTACTTGGAAGAAGTTGCACTTGAAATTACTAAAATAGCCACAAAAATAAATATATTTAGCATATTGATTATCTCAAGATAATGAAATATTACCTACTTGAAGAAGTTTGAAAATTTTGTAATTAATGCTTGATGTAATTCAGGAGTCCTATCATAATTTATCAGCAGGTTATATATTAATTATATTTGCCAATATATTGATTACACTGAATATCAGTTGATACTAATATTGCTGCATCTCTAATTTTCAGTTTCATTCCTGAGTATAACTCAACCATGATGGAACGTTTTCTTTTAGTGGGAAGTGAATCTGTGGGAGCAAGCCAAACCAGTGAGGTGGCTAGTGATAAGGAGCCGGAGCAAGCCCAGGCTCGGAAGATAAGTGGCGAAGTGAGTGCTTTCTCCCTCATACTCTCATGTTATCTGAGTCTCAGGCATAGCCTGCGTTTGTCCCTGTGTGCTTGTTCTGCATCATCTTCCTTTCTGTGAATTTTTGCTCTTGCTATACTCAGAAGTCTCATTTTCCGATGGAAAACAGTGTAGTGAATTCTGAACTAACAATTGAGGAGGTTGGAAGAGAACTTAAAGGAGGAAAAGGGAAGCCCAATAAATGGAGGTCGGTGAAGCGGTGGAAAAAGGTAGCCTTGTCACTGCCATGATGCAATCATGGCATGTGGCTGTACCCTATATATTGCTATCTCCAGTTTTATGGTTTACACACATGTTAAATGTTTTCTCTGATACTGTGATGATGACTTGATGTGACCTTGAGACAGTGTCCATGGACCTTTTGAGAAGGCTTTTAAATGCTTTTGATTCAAATAAAAGAATTTTGATGATTTCAAAACTGTAGTCAGTTCAGTTCCAGTTAGAATTTTTTGTGAAAAAAGTTGACAAAAGCACTGTAGAACTTTGATCAGACAAAAGTCTAAACTGAAACAAGAACTGAACTTAAACTGAACTGCTGTTTTGAAATCAACCTTTCATTTTAGTCACTGTGATGGGTGATGGATTAGGAGTTGCAGATTGACTTGTCTCTGTTGTATTGTTCCTTTTCTTGAAGAAATTTTCTTAGGGCAGACATGAATTATCTATGTGTTTGTACAAGATAGGTGAGTTTTGGCTTGTGTGGTGAAATTTGGCATGAATTTAGCTTTAGGGTCAAAGTTTTGACAATTTTCCTTTTAAAATTGATACCTGTAAAGCAAGGCATGAGTGGGTGGTTGAGGTGCTTGTCTGTATTTCAGAGTACATCCCTGTCATCTTACTTCTCTGATGCAGTGCAGTGTTCACACTTCCCCTAGGAGACTCACACCCTGAAATTTTTCTATTAACCTTTCATAGAAGAGTGAGGTGGGGAGTGAAGAAGACTGGCCTTCACTTGGAGATACACATTCAAACCATGGTTCAAGAAGGGGGTCTGCTCCATCCACACCAAAACCAGAGAAGGATGTGGTTCTACAGAGCCCTCTGCCAGATAAAGAGTCAACCAAGGAGGACATTAACTCCTTCAGCAGCCCCTTGGATGATAGCAAAAGCAAAAAGAAAGGTCAGAGCTGACTCATACCCCAATCCTTAAATAATCTGATTCAAGTGCATTTATGCAAGGTTTATCTCATGACTTCAGTGTTTTCAGGACTCATCTATATTTTGCACTACAATTTCTTGATATTTTTTATAGTTTTGAAGCAGAGATGGGTCCCTCTGGAGATAGATGCTCCTCGCAGTCCAAGAAGTCCTCGTGGGAAGGGAATGTCCCCCCGATTCAGAGGGTCCAAGTCTGGTTTCAGGAATGAAGGTAAGATATGATCTAGTTCAGATTGTTGTCCTGAGGCCTATTTGTTCTTCCTAACCAATTATATAATTATGGATGAGTAAGCTACTTTCAGGTCCATTGTCTCATATTCACTATTATACCTTAACACATCAAGGATGGGTTGTGTGTTTACTTGTTTTTTCAAGTACATGCGGGAAGGACAGGTCGCGTGTGAACACGTTTTTTGTGTATGACCAAGAACCAAGCAACTCCTGCCATATGTTGAGGGTTTTTGAACTGCTTGAACAGCTGTCATTGAATAGGAAGTTTGCAGCTTTATAATGTTTATCTAAAATGCCTGGGAACCAGGAGCATGATAGCCTGTATTCCTCCAGTCCTCAATGTGTTAAGTAACATGAGACTCAAGCTCAGCCAACAATGGTCATGCTTGTGGATTGAGAAGATGGAATGCTTTTTTTTTTCAGATTGTACTTCTCAGTTGAGATTCATCAATTCAAGCATCAATATCATCAGATATCTTCTCCCATTTCTATCTGTGTAAATATAGGCTACAAAAATAAAATTATTTGGAGAAAATCAACTTGTGGAAATGTTCAGGTGTTGTCAGAAAACCATTAGTCACAGATTTTCAAGTTGATCTTTTCCCCTTGGATTGGAATACATATGCACCCTAATTTGGCAAAAGAATTTTGACACAGTTATCATTCAAGATTGTGCTTTTGGGAATATAGTTCTATCCTGCATCTTTGGAAATCACAGGAATAGGCCTGAATGTTAAATCCTTATATAGGTGAGGTAAAGGGGCCTTTGAGCCAAAGAACCTGTTCCCCCCTGTAACAGCCCATGGATGCTTCTTAAAGGACTGTAAACTGAGGGAGGTTTTACCTTTGAGTCTTCTTTTTCTGTACTTTCTACATACATTCTATTCACAATAATATTGGATCTCTATGCCCCTGAATATTGTGGTTTAAATCATTACAGAGAACACCAAGGCTCAATCAGTGGATGGAGACCACGTTGGAAAGCGTGGTGGACGTGGAGGAACACCACGTGGACGTGGTCGGGGATCCCGGTACCGTGGGCGTGGACGTGGAGGTCGACACAATAGTTCCAGCTGGGAATCTCTCTCAAATCCTGGCGAGGATGAATATAATGATCTTCCTTATGTTGACACATCTCCCAGTGCACAATTCATTGATGGCCAGGCTTATGTCACACCCTATATTGGGTTTGGGTCATACGTCTATGATTCCTCCTATGTTCAAGTAGATGAAACCACGCTCAAGGAATACATACGCACCCAGATGTGAGCACATTTTTAATCTGGGTTTCAGTTTTGTATCTCACAGGTACTTGAGGTGTATGAATGTGTTTCAGTGAGTATTACTTCAGTGAGGAAAACCTTCAGAGAGACTTCTTCCTGAGGCGCAAGATGGATTCAGAGGGTTACCTCCCAATTTCCTTGATTGCTTCCTTTCATCGAGTCCAGGCCTTGACCCAAGACTTCAGTCTCATCATTGAGTCCCTTCATAATTCAGAGAAGGTTGAGTTGAAGGATGGAGTCAAGGTCAGTACAACAAGATTTCTCTTTCCAGCAATTTTTTTTTTCATGAAACAATTTAGTTGTCAGATATCCAGTAACCTGGTACTCAGCTTTTGACAATTTGACAGCACTTGTACCGATATGAATTACCTGGATTAATGATAGAAGCCTAAATGTGAATCATGTTGTCAATGACCGCAAATATATTTAAAATTTGAATGAACCCATAATGCATCAATGTATAACCAGACATACTTGCATCAATGAGGCCATGAAGACCTCATTTGTTGACTTTGTAGTTGATCTTGGATTTTTAAAACATGTTAATTTTTTTTAACTGGTACATCTGAAGCCCACTTCTTCCTCACCATAATTCAAGCCCAGGGCTTGGCATAAGCCTGAGCTTGCAGAACTCATAGCTTTATATTGACACAAAGAGAAAATTTAGAGAATAGGCTGGGAGCATTGTTTACTTTACCTTGCATAGTCCTATCATTGCCTTCAATAACTAGAATGCATTACCCAAGAGGAAGGCTAGGCAGTCAGCTGTCGGTCAAGCAGAGTCTTTGAAAAAGCACTATTTTGCTGTAGACTTTCCTCCTGGTAGCTTAGGTAGTAGACTTTGCTCCTGGTACCTGGTAGCTTTTGGATAAAAGCACAAGCTTTTATCCAAAGTGTGATCTTTACCTGCATTTCAGTATGAGTGCTGATTGCATTTGCCACATTCATACACAATTGACCTGTAGGCTATACCATAAATCCATCAAAGGTGGCATTTAAGGAACAGTCAGCTTACTGTAAGTTTCTCCTCAATGAAGTGCTGGACTTATAATTATCCCACAGGCACTCTTTTGCATTGTTTTTCTTAGGTGTATTTGAAATGTCCTGCAAGGCTGTTAAGTGAGAGCTCAAATTTCAGGAGTTTCATAATTGGATATATTTGTTTTCCTGACCATTAACCCAAATAAAATATATTTGCTTTTGTATTTCATTAGTTATATGAGTTATTATAAAATTTCCTTCTAGGTGCGCACAAAAGTGGAACCACTTAGCTGGCCAATTTATGATGGGATCATCCTTCCTGATCCTGGGGAGACAGCATTCTCCCCAGTACAGCCAAACAATGAGAGCACTCACTTGGATCCCAATGTTCCTGAATTCATCCCTGGAGTGGGAGGTGTGGTACTGTCTGATTCTGAGGAGTCTTCAGGCAAGGAAATCCCTGAGACACCCATAATTTCCAACCTCCCAGTTACAGGTGTGTGTGACTTCTTATGGTGTCCAGGACACTTGAATGTTATAATGAACGAGAAGTTTAATGTGTAGATTTTATTTCAGTTGGAGACCTCATGAAGACTGCTGAAGCAAGACAGGAGCAGGAGAAACCCTCTCTTCAAGAAAAAGTTTTGATCACCTCCAAGTCGAAGGTTGCTACAGCCATCTCCACCAGTCCTGCCAAGCCATTAAGAGCTTCTGAGGAGGAATCTTGGAAAGAAGTGAGGACTTACCATCATGTGCCATTTAACATATCCTTGTTCCACCCAACTCCCATCTTGGTCTTTCCTGCACCTGCCCCTCCTCCCTGCATCGATACTTTATGGCCTTTCTAAATTCTCTGCAGTCGTATACAAATATTGTTGGTGTCACATTTAAATAGGATTGTTTTTGTTCTTGTGTTCTCTTGATGCTGAGATTGGTTGAAGATCTGGAGTTGCTATTTAGAGAGATTATTCATGAAAAGGATTTTACTTTAATTCTTGTTTGGGATATAAAGTATAAAACTTGAATTTTGTCAATTTTTCATGCTTGAGTCTCTGGTTGTTGTGCTTATGAAAAATGGATATTAGTGACTTTTTGCCATAGGGGCTGGTCTTTATGTTGCTTGTATGCTTGTGTCAATTCAAGTTGCTGAGTGAGATACTTCAGGTACTTTGTCTTGACTTTTCATCCCAGACTAGCTTAACTGGCTGTGAAAAATGAGGCTCTCTTAGTGTCAGGCCATACATAGTCTCTCCTGTTGACCACACGTCAGTTGAATACATTAGTGAATGCTCCAAAAATACATTAGCGAATGCTCCAAATTTCCTCAAGTTGCTGGGCCTTATTTTAATATTTATTATCATTTTTAGTTTCTTTCGAGATGATCTGCTTTTGGCATTTGAAGAGAGAATGTGTATTCTTCAGTATTTGATGAGGAAGAAATATGTGGTTTTCTCTTCTGTCTGTTGACTTGTGTCCCTTCATTTCCTTCTCATGCCAGATCCTTTCAACCTCGTTTGGTGAGTCTTTGACCCTGAAATCCTTCCACCTCCTTGCTTCCCTGGAATTGACACCAGCAGCACATCGTGTCATGAACATCTGGATCAGATTTAACGAAGGCATTTGTTTCAGGTGAAGCGGAAATCAAAAGAATTGCGGAAGGAAAAGCGGAGGCAGAAATCGGAGAGCGGCCACTTCTCGCATGCCCTGGGAGAGGGAGACTCAAGTCGAGATTCCAGTGCCCCTCCAGTTGGCCAACAACGTGAGGAGCTGGACTTCCTCTTTGATGAGGAACTCCAGAATATGCCTCAGGGGAGGCAGAACACTTTCACTGACTGGTAAGTCACTGATGATCATGTCTGTTGATATTTCTGCTGCTTGTCATTGACTTGACACATTTGAAGGCACAAAACCACAACCATAAGGTAGGGAATATAATTGAATCCAATTCCATGACACTTCCCTGTGGTCTGAAAAAATTTTTTTGATTAATCATAAATGCTTGGCATTCACTAAAAACTACTCTGCATAATGGAAAGGCATTGATCCTAAGGAAGTGCCATGTCATGGCTTGATTTTGTGTGTAGCCAAGAAGTGGATTTGCTTTCTTCTCCCTACTCTTTCAATATGATTGGGCTTCTCTTTTGTCATTCAGTTATCTTATTCTAAAAGAGGTACCATGCTCATTTGTCATTGCTGCTCGCTCTGAATTTTGGGACTTGCATGATGTGGTCTCTTCTAGGGCTTAAAAAGTGCTAAAACCCCTTTTCATCAACATCCAGGTCGGATGATGATTCGGACTATGAGTTTTCGGATCAGGACATCAATAAGCTGTTGATTGTGACTCAGACTCCTCCCTCGAGTCGTCCTCCAAAGCACGAGGGCTTTGATCGCACTGGTGACTGGACAACTCGTGTGAAAATGACCCAAGAGTTGGGCAAGGCCATCAATGATGGCCTTTATTACTATGAACAGGATCTCTGGAGTGAACATGAATGGGTAAGGTCTCAAGAGAGTAGAGAGTTATGCAAAGAGTCAAGATGAGTAGAACCTGGTAGTTATTGTGATTTTTATCTTGTTTATGTTGCAGCTGGACCTGCATGACCGGTCAGCTTCATTCAACACTGTGAATGTGATATCTCAAGAGGACTTCAGGAAATTGATCCCACCCTCCCCAAAGATCCAAAATCAAGTGCCTCCACCTCCTCCCCCATCTTCGGACATCCTTTCCAGATCCCTCCCCACCCAGGTGAGATTATAGTTTTTGACCTACACTCATGACTCCTGGTCCTGCATTTCATTGGAGCTCTGGTGATTCAGGTGCCTGTGACACCTCGGACGCCAAAGACACCCAGGAAGGATCCTCAGAAGGCACCCCGTTTCTATCCAGTTGTGAAAGAGACTAAACCACCTGCCGATCCAACAACGCCCCGCAAACGAAAGACTCGCCACAGTGCAAATCCTCCTGTGGAGCATCATGTCGGTTGGGTCATGGATGCCCGGGATCACCGACCCAGAACGTCTTCTTTCAGGTTGGTTGTTGTCATGGGTGAAGATAATTATGAAGATGGCACAGTTTTTAAATATTATTATTGGTTCAGTGGTTCTAGTCCACCTGGTTCGTTGGCGGAAGGAGGGAGTGTGAGCTATGGAAGCACCCCTCAATCATTGCCTGCATTCCAGCACCCTTCTCATGCCTTGCTCAAAGAAAATGGTTTCACTCAGCAGGTCTACCACAAGTATCGCTCAAGGTGCCTTAAAGGTATGGTCAAACAATTGCAGTATTCTTTCATTGTTTGTCTCCTTGGTTTTCAACTTTTTTCATTTGCATCTTTCTTCTCATTTGCAGAGCGGAAGCACTTGGGGATCGGACAGTCACAGGAGATGAACACCTTGTTCCGCTTTTGGTCCTTCTTTCTTCGGGAACACTTCAATAAGCGGATGTATGATGAATTTCGACGTCTTGCCCTTGAAGATGCTGCTGTTGGCTACCGGTTTGTGCTTTTGATCTGCTGTACTGTTTAATTACTTTTTCACAAGTTTGTGTGGTAGATTAATACAGGTTTCTTTTGCTCCCCTTCTCTCAGATATGGCTTGGAATGCCTGTTCAGATTCTACAGCTATGGACTGGAGAAGCATTTCCGTAATGAGCTCTTCTCGGACTTCCAAGAAGAAACTATCAAGGATTATGAAAATGGTCTTACATTTTTCTATCTTTGCCTCTTTTTTTTTCATTGTGAGGAATATCACACTCTTTCTGTTGTTTCTTTCACTCTAGGCCAGCTGTATGGATTGGAAAAATTCTGGGCCTTCCGCAAATATTACAAGAATGCAGAGCGACTTGAGGTAGATGGTAAGCTGCAGAGTGCCTTACAGAAGTACAAGACTGTGGAAGATTTCCGTGTTCTCCCAGTGAGTCCCATCTGATTTCCTCTGCTTAAAACTCTGCAGGTTCTGTGATTTTATTTTTAATCATTTTGATTTTTTTTCCCAGGCGGAGGGTGATGAGATTACAGGTGCAGCTGCATTCATGACAAGCAGAGACCGATCCCAGCGACTCGACAGCAGGAGGAAACAACAGCCGAGTGAGAAGAGGAGCCGGCAGTCATCCCAATCTGAAAAAGACAGGAAGGGAGGGAAGCAGGCAGCGCAGCAACGTGTCGACCAGGCTGCATCCAGTGGAGAGAGGACTTGTCACGCGTGATTCACCTTTCATTTGAGTCGACCTAGTCACACGTGCATCAGACGATACGGTCTCTCGTGTAATCTCACCCGATCCAAGATAAAATGTGAAGAAAAAATGAGAAAGGGAGTGCCCAAGTGCCATAAAATGCATATCTGCCTTGCCCAAGCTTGCATGCTGTGTCGTTTGAACTCTTTGGCTTCATCCATACGGGCAGGTGCTCTTCTCTTCCTCATCTGGGAAGCAATGATACGTCCTCTGATCTGTGGAACGAGAAAGTGAGAAGGTTGATGAGATCCTACGCTAGACTATTCCATTATTTGAGCTTTTTCCGTCATTTTGATCTGTGATCCGATGCGACCTGCCTCCATGACATGATGGCAGGGTCTGCCCTTGCAAGAGAGAAAAAAACGACCAAAGGGAGCCAGGTATTTGTAGCACGAGATCTGCTAATCCGGTGAAATTATGCAGAGAACCAAGAACACCTCAGGGAAGATGGTTTTTTTACTCTTGCCCTGCTTCTTTTATCAGTGATGCTAGAGAGGGGAGAAGGAAGGAGAGGGAACTTGTTTTCCTCCCCCTAAAGGAAAACAGGATCAGTGCTGACAACTAGGCTGGTTTAAGGAACTGTCCTCCCCCTCTCTCAAGATAAACAGAGAAGGAAGGGGTGAATGGGTCGTCATCAGAAGACCAGGTGGCTTGATTTGACCTAAGAGTCAGGAATGAAAAAAAATGATCAAAGTAAATGCAGGGAAAAAGAGAGAGAGAGATCTATGTGGATCTCTCCTCATTCCCCTAGACATTTTCCACATGGCCCCATTTTCCCTTCCTCTCTCTCTCTCTCTCTCTCTCTCTTTCTCTTTATCTCTTGCTTGGGCTAATTTCATTATGCTGCATCAGAGAAACTTTTCCTGTGGTCTCTGGCTACATGGCACGTGTAAAATGTGAATGTGTATCTTCTCCCAACTTTTTCTTTGTACATACAGTAATTGTATTGAGATGCACCTTCACCCCTCTGTAGCCATGTATCTTTCCTCGATATTGGTAGTTTCTATGAAGCATCAAGTATATTTTTCTAAACACAACATGCACTACTGACACTGTCAGAGAGAGAGAGAGCACGCTCCAATTTTTTTTTCTGAATTGAGTGTTCGTTGTTGCCTCACCACTTTATTTTCTCCCTTCTTTTCTGACCTTGACATGACCTTGAAGGCCTGACTGGAATTGATCTGTGGCTCTTCTTCCATTATGAGTAGCCTTCTTTCCCTCATCTCTGTTGGTGGTGGTGGATCATGCCTATTGAAAAAAGGTTGATGGTGTTGGCTGAAGATGACAATTGAAATGTAGGGAAATCTGTGATTGTTCCTGCTTGTTTTTTTTTGTTTCCTGCGGTTTTTTTTGCCGACTTCCCGGTCGGAGTTTCTGTTCATATCGGGTGGAGTTCTCGGCCTGGAAAACGTTCATTTGAGTGTGTGTTTGGTTTCTTGCTTTGTAACGATCGGTTTTGAACGAAAAAAAAAAGATAAAAAAGGGAGAAAAAGATTGTCATGGTCTTGGTTCTTTCTTGATTGCCTTGTGTATACTTTTGGGGGGTGTTCCTGCGTCTCTGATTTGTACACAGGCCAGGGGTTGAAAAAAGTTATCAGTTAGTTTCCCACTTGTCTTGAGTCTTTTTTTTTTATTGATTGCCCAAAAGAGGAAAAGAAAACGAAAAAAGTAATAAAAATATAAAAAAGTTTTTTTGAAAATGGATTCATGAGTGTTCAGTTATTCCTCATACGGGAGGATCTGGATGCAACTGTATATAGTAATGCCAAAAATGTTCATTGCATCTTGTTTAGAGTGTCTCATAAATGTAATCCACCAGCCAAAGTAAGGGTAATTATCTCTGGATTGCTGAGAAAGGACAAAGATTGGAAAAGTGGAAAAGCATTTTTAGAACTGATATTTCTGTTCTTGGTATCTGCCCTAGTTGGAATTCTTTGCATGATTTCCGGTTTTACCCTTTTCTTAGGAGATTGAAAAGTAAACCTCAACCCAGTATCACGAGCTTCGTGGAATGTAATAGATCGTATTCGTTCAACAAAACGAATTTCCTCACTGCCGTTTGCCCTCTGGAAATAAATAAAGAATATGCTCAAGTCTGCTACACTATGAACCTAAACCTGACGTTCCTTGAGGGGAATTTCACGCGGATGGACCCGTGGCCTCCCTAATACGACGTAATGCAGAAAACGTGCGAAAAATAAGGCAACGGGGTGTATCAGTTGACAGTCCCGACCGAGGGAGAGGGGAGAGCCCCGAGGGGCGAAAAAGAAACAATGAAACGAGAGAAGGCAACATAATGAAGGACCAAGATGAGGCTCAAATTATTTTCGCATTCCATACTTCCAATTTTCTGGTCACGAAGAACGTTACGTTACGTTGGTGCTACTCCGAACAGACCACAATTCGGTTCAGCTGTGTTCAAAGTGTAAAAATGGCAAAAATCCCTGTAGCTTTGGGTCTCAGCCCTAGAATCAAGCCCTGAATACGCCCCACGTAATTGCTTTGGGCGGCGTGGGTAGACCGTGACACCCAGTAGATGCAGCTATGCCTCATCGCTAGTTTAAATACGTTGAAGTCACTCGAGTGTCTGAAGCACCGCTTATTTCTCGACGCATCCCCTCGGACTCCCCTCGTGGAAGGCAAGGGTGAAGGACCCACCCTTGCCCCACCCACCCACATCGCAGACGGGAGAGAGAGAGAGAGAGATCGTGGTGACAATCCGCTGACTGAGCCTCCCTCAGAACAGATCGCGTCTCCGTTTATGTAACGACTTTTTCCCTCTCTCCTCCCTTCGGTGTTAGGAAATCGGATCTGCGGCGTTGAGGCCATCCGTCATGGAGGTAATGCATGTCATGTGCCCCGTGGAGGGGGGAGAAGGCGGGGGCGAAAGCGCTCTCGTTTCTCATCCCTTCGATGCCCCGGGTGCCCAAGGGTGCCCGGAGGGTGCTTCGAGGGTGCCCGAGGAAAAAAGAGGTCCGTTTTCGGAAGCGGGTCTGACCTCACGTCTCGTTCATTAGTCCTGGCGCCGTCGGTCTCGAGTGGCGGCTACCGATTTTTTTTTCCTCCTTTTTTTTTTTTTTTCCTGCGTGCTTGATTTACTGGGAAATTTCGCGTCTGCAATGGATTCCGAGAATTTCATATCTCCTGTCCCTGAGTATTCTTTCGGAGAAACGGTCTCATCCGGTGTTCTTTTTATTTATTTATATATTTTAAATGTATTATCTCGATCGTTGCGTTTTGTCGGCGTGGTTCTCGGACACGAAATCCAACTTACGAATAGAACATTTTCGAGCAGAAATTCCAAACTGTCACAGAAGAAATCTGGAAGCGGAGCCCCCAGGGACCGTCACGTTTGTCTCTCTAATGGGTGGGGGGGGCAGAGGG